AGGTTTGTTTTCATGGCAGGTCAAAAGAAAAACAGTGCCCAGTAAAATGGATTTAAACTCATGGAACATCTTCTGGGATATATGTTTTGGTGTATTGGGGACTTTGATCATTGTAGGAAATATTCTCACCATCTGGATATTCTTCAAACAGAGACGCCAAAAACGCTCTTACTCACTTCTCATAAGCTTGGCAGTTGCTGATTTGCTGGTGGGAATTTTTGCTGTCCCTTTTTATATAAAAACAGTTGTATCACAGGAATATACATGGTACGTTATTTCCATGGGTGTTGACGTTTTCACTGGCACAACGTCCATCTACACTCTTGCGGTCATTTCCTTGGAAAGAATGTACGCCGTCGGTTGGCCTGTTCGTCACAGAACTCTGAACTATCGTGTTTACGTCTGCGCTATTAGCATACCGTGGATCATAGCGGCAATATTTACTACTTTAGTGGTGTTACGGATACTTAATATGATAGGGAGGGAGCATTTCTTTTATTGTCTTGTTTTAATTCCTGGAATCCCTCTAATAACTGTATGTGTAGCAAACTTTGTTATTTGGAAGAAGCAGAAAACGCCATTTCGCGACCAGAATCATATCAAAAGAGAAGTGAAATTGGCGAAGACACTAGTTCTCATAACAGGAACATCGCTTTTTACCTGGCTTCCTTTTCAAATTCTAAATATTTTGTTTGAATTGAAAGTCACACAAAATTTTCACCTTTTTGAATTAACTGTATTTATCATCAAATTTTTACAGTTTAGCAATTCACTTGTGAACGTGATAATTTATCCGTTCAGGATGCCAGAATTTAGGCGCACTTTATTCCAGATACTTAATTTCTGTGTAATTCCCTTTGGAAGATTCAGCATTGCGGTATCTCCATCAGCTGGGACCGGGTCATTTTCGCAATCAAACGTTCACCAGGAAAGTTCGCTTTAGAGTCTAAATCCACTCAGGCACATAGACATTCCTACAATGGATGAGGAATATAAAATGTATTTTACAAAAATATGCAAATATGCTGAAAATGAATGTGTGCCAAATTTTTAATTAAAATTTAAATTTTTAGAAAATTTGAGGAAACCCCCCACACTCAAAAGTACGAGAATACGCATTGAAGAAAAAACAAAAAGTCAGTGAAGAGGGAAGAAAGCCAAACGACAATTCTTGTCGAGGAAAACCAAAGAAGCATCGAGAGCACGAAAGATGCGTAAGAGTTGCTCCAGGCAAACTTCCCAAGTGATTCATATCTCGATGAACGC